GCCCCCCGGCCGGGCTCCCGCCAGAGAGCCTCGGGCGTCGGGGGCACGGGGCTGTGCCGTGGGTCCGTGGCGCTTCGGATCGCGTTTCTAGGTGGGTTAGGGGAAGCACGGCCCGACGGAGCTGCGGGACGTTGCTGTCCTGGGGCATGGTCTCCATTCTCACCGGGACGGTCTTCCCCCCACCCACTCTGCACCAGAGGGGATGAAGGGCGATATCCTGATAGACATCGGCTGTGGCCCTACCATCTACCAGCTTCTGTCGGCTTGCGAGCACTTCCAGGAGATCATCGCCTTGGACTACACGGACCAGAACCGCCGGGAGCTGGAGAGGTGGCTGAAGAAGGAAGCGGGAGCCTTTGACTGGCAGCCGGTGGTGAAATACGTTTGTGAGCTGGAAGGGGACAGGTGAGGCTGGCTTCCTACCCCCCTGCCGCCGACCGCGACGTACATGAAGTCGCAGGCGCAGATGCTAAACACCCACATTAACGAGCCTTCATCCGTTTGCTTATTTACTCGCTAGGGAGAAGTGGGCTGAGAAAGAGGAGAAATTGAGGAAGAAGGTGAAGCAGGTTCTGAAGTGCGATGTGACCAAAGCCAACCTCGCGGACCCCGTGTCCCTGCCTCCTGCTGACTGCATCGTCTCCACCCTCTGCTTGGAGGCTGCCTGCAAGGACCTGGCCACCTTCCGCAGCGTCCTGAGAAACATCGGTGCCCTCGTGAAGCCGGGGGGGCACCTGGTGATGCTGACCGTCCTCCAGGAAACCTACTATGGCTTCGGCAATCAGGTTTTCTCCTGCCTCTACCTGGAGAGAAACATGGTGGAGGAGGCCGTGGAGGCTGCTGGCTTCGACGTGAAGTTCAGCGAGGTCCAGCAGTACCTGATCAAAGACCCCCGCACCGACTGCACCGCCACGTTGGGCCTCGTGGCACGCAAGCGTGCCATCACTGGCTAGCCTGTGGGCACTGGGGAGGGAAACAGCAGTGTGTCTGGTTTCAAAAAGCCCTGCTGATGTAACCCACAGCCTCTCACCCCTTTATCTGAAAGCAAATAAAGTCACAAGTGCTCTAACAGTGTCCATGGCATGAGATTTATGCGACACTCACAGGACCAGCAGTTGAAGCCCCGGCTGCGTGCCAGCAGCCCAGGCTCGGGGTAACCCCGCCGGCTCACCCCAGCCCAGAAACAGTGATTGCACCCAAGTCCCCTCCCTGCCATCCTCCCACGTCAGAGTAGACCTTCTGAGAAGCTTCCTCTTTCAGCGGTGATGTGCTTTTTTAAGACCAAAATCCATTCTTACGGGGAAAAAAGTTTGGCTGCAAGGGCATCGAGATTGTCTAAACCCAGACTGGTTTCTGGACAAATCCTGCGTGCTCTGTCTGAAAAGTTGGGAGGAAAAAAAAGGATGCTGTCAAGGGAAGCATCACGCCTTGCGCCCAGACAATCCTCAGCAGGCACGGAACAAAGAGTACCTGCTGATCTCTTCAGTAAACCTGTAAAAATGTTTGACAAAACGCTGCAGCCCCAGCAATATGTACCTGCCGGGCACCAGCACGCACGCAGGAACAGGGCAGAAAGGGTTGGCAGGTGGAAACGATGCTCTCCCCAAAGCAACCGCCTCCGGCTCG